GTAACGCGTTACTGCCCATCTCTGCTTATGATGTCTCCTTGCTTCCTTGGGGCCAGGCCGACCTACTCTAAGTTCACCCCAGAGGGAGTGCTGGCCAACGTCTTGGGTATCCTGTTGGTGTGCTTTGGATTGGTGCTGGGACACCTGATGACGAGGGAGGAGTACAGACGCCCACCAAACCCAGAGGAAGAAGCTCTGTCCGTCCATTTCAAGACACTGACTGACGGGGGATCACCAACCACGCCTTAATCTCACTCTGAAGCCTGACGCCTCTCTGTGATCTACATCTACAGAGCCAACAGACTACCTGTGCTACCAGTCTCTGTTAGTACCTGCATACCTGTCAGAAAATGAGTTCAGCTTTAGGTTCAGTGAAGTAAGAACAGAAATCTTTAATAACTGTCTTTCTCATGTTATTAAACCAACCAGCTCTGTCAGCTTTGTCATGAAAAACATTTATACATAGTTACAAATGTACTGTTTCACTACACATTGTGATATGGAGCGTCATGTTTGTGTAGTTGAAGGGCGCAGTTTATATTTTATTGTTTCCTGTTGTGCAGTGTTGATGGTTAGGTTGTGATTCTCGTTTTGCTTAAATGTGTCTTCACTTCACTTGTGTTTTATCATTGTGTCTTAACTATATTGAAGATGTAGCATCAGCCGACCCGAGTAGGTGCAGTGTTCTCCTCTCCCGTCTTTTCCTCCACAGCTCTGCTCTGTGTGTCGGCTTTGTGAGGACACTTATTGACATTAATGCACTCCCAGCGTCTCACCCCCAATTTTAACCATATTAACTACAGTAAATCTCACACCTAACATAACCCTAAAACCAGGTCTTAACCCTCAGACAGACAGCGGTGTGAGAAGATTCAAGTTGTACCTTCCACAAAAGTATTATTTGTTTCTGTTTTTTGGTTTCCTGTGAGAAATAACTAAAGTCATGATGTGCGGATGGGTGGTTCACGTAATATTTGGAAAGCTGGAATTCAGAATCTGTCCGTTTCAATATCAAGTATTTCTCCTGACTTTTTTATCCTGATCAATAAGATGGCACCACCACAACCACCATCACCTTTTCTGTCCTCTTACCAGTCACAGCAGATGGCTGCCATGGGCGTTATTTGGTGATTGCGCTGATGCTATCCTTTTTAGTAAATCTGGCACCTTATCAGTGGAATTAAATTTGACTAAAAAAAGAAACCACAAACACAAATTTCTACTTTGACGCTCAAAAAGAAGCTACACTACCCTCGGAACAATTGTACAAATCCTGCAAACGTAGCCTTTCTGTGAGCAGGGTGGAGCAGGGTGGAGCAGGGTGGTGCGCTGGTAGTCTGTAGAATAGACTCTGTGCTCTGCTGGAGAACCACGTGTTCAAAAACTGTTCTCCGCAGCCGCTGTCTACTGTCTGTGCTGCTTTTCTGTCTGTGAACATTGGTTGAGTTCCCCTCATGTTCCTCTCTGTGTAACTAAAGAGCCACAGGTCCACGTTCATTTTGGGGTCAATATGTGGCATTAAAGGTGGTGTAAATTGGTTGTATGATAAAATTTCCTCTGCTGTTGCTCCGTCTTCGTGACCTGCAGTAGCATAAAGTTCTCTTTTCTGACTGAATCCTATCCGTCAGTAACTGTTCCTGTTTAAATGCTTCAATAACCTGTTGTGTGTATTCAAATACCTACATATATGGTTTAAATCTACTTTTTGTTTTGTTCGCCTTCAGTCTTTGTGCCTCAGAGAGAGCTTGGTGGAGGTTGTTCATTTTTCTGTAAGTTGTGACAGTGTCGTTGTTCACAGGAAGTCCCGATCTTATCAGGACAACCTGAAATAAAGTGTTTGAAATTATTTTCCCCAGATTTTTAACATTGGATGTGAAAGCAGCAAGAAAACATGTTTGAATTGTAGATTGTTTTAAAATGAACACAAACATTTTTACTGTACGTAACAAGCTGTTCACGTCACCTTTATGTGCATTAAGCTGCACGAGTTTTGTCGTTTTGCCTTTGTACACCAACATAGTGGATTTTAAATCACACAGGCAAGATGTCATTGAAGTGCAGACATTCAGTAATAATCTAAGTGGGTATCACGTTAACTGTTCAGGGTTTACATTTTCTAACACTCAAATGTAACTGGACATGGAACTGAAAAGCAGTTTGATGGCCAGTTCAGGTCTGTTCCCTCTTTATTTCATGAAAGGTTAAACAGATAAAGGAGCAGTCTGGCTCATTCTTACAAAGCAATCATAAAAGGCCCGATAGCCCACTGACTGGTGCTTTATGTTAAAATCAATATTCTATTTAGATTGCTTCTGCTGCCCCCAAGTGGCCAAAAAACAATCAGTTATTGTAAGAGCACTGCATATAAGATCAACACAATCTTTCCACCACAGTTAAAACAAAAGCATTTATCCACGTGAGCATATGACTTGTGCTAATAACAATGCAGACAGCATGTAATGCTG